TCCCACGGACTTTCTAAGAAAGCCTACGGGAAACAACTCAAATTCCTGAAACATTCACGTTTTTTTTTTATTTGACACAACTCTTTGCTGGGCCTTGATTGAGGGACTGTGAGACTTTGGAGCAACTCTTCCGCAAACACGCAAACCAGCTTCTTGAGTTGCTTCCTTTCCCAGCCTCGGCCCAAAAGCTGGCATGGAGCCCAGCACATTCCAACAGCAGCCCTAAGCCAGGGAAAGCTGTCGGGGAGCCGAAACAGGCACTGGGGCACATCTCCCCCTGCTTGGCTTGGATCTGTGGCAGCCGCTCCTGAGCCCGTGAAACAATTGAGAGGAAGGCAGGGTTCACACAACCTCTGGGCTAGCACTGGGTTAACTGGCTGATTCTAGTGTGTTGCATTGACCCAGTTCACATGGCTAGATTAGGGTTAGTGTGTTGCATGGACTCAATAAACCATCTCTTAGCCAGCATGCATGAACTCAATAAGCCATCTCTTAGCCAGCATGCATGAACTCAATAAGCCATCTCTTAGCCAGCATGCATGAACTCAATAAGCCATCTCTTAGCCAGCATGCATGAACTCAATAAGCCATCTCTTAGCCAGCATGCCTTGCAGGCCTCTTCTTGGCCAAAGTTCAAGGCAGCTCCCATGATGCTTTGCGGCCGAGATGTCCTTTGACCAATCCCCAGGCAGCGCTGGCTCAGAACCAGGCCTTTCCCATCAGCCTTTGCTTCTCCGCCGTCTCGACGTTAAAGGAGGGAGGGCGGGGCTTCTCTTGGTTGAGCGATCAAGACGACCGTTGGAAAATCTCCCCCCCCCCCAGTTTCTTTTCTGGAACTGAAATCTTATTGGTTCACCAGAAGACGAAGGGCAGGGTTGGGACTGAAGTCACGTCTACCAATTAAAATAAAGATCGAGGGTTGCCGGCCCAATGGGTTTCCAGAGAGCAGAGTGATGGGCACAAAATCTGCCAATAAATTGAACTCCTTGGAGCGAACGGGTATCCTTATAGGGCCCAATCAGGGCGCCCGTTTGAGATTTGGCGCAATCCGGTTTCGAACGGCTGAGATTGACCCTTCCTGCTCGGTTATCCTAAAGTCCCAGTTTGGCACCGAAAAGTCCCCTGGGCTGCCAAAATACTTCTTCTTCCTCCCTTCAAGTGCTCCTCGTTACACCACCCCGCCCTACGGCGCGGCTCTCTGCAGCGGAACTAGGTTACTCAAACATCCTTCTCCCCTGCCTACAAGGACGACCGGTTGCCTTTTCCGGTCCTGGAAACTAAAACGGATGCCAGAACGAATCACATCGGCAGGCGGGAGACGGTCGACCCTATGGCGGCGGAGGGCGGGACAAGGGTAGGTAAGGCACCGCCTCGACCCAATGAGAGCCCCGACAGCCTTGAGCGACGGCGGGCCAGCCCAATAGAGGCGGGCCTGAGGTGGGAGCGAGGGTGGGCTGGGGTAGTGTGGGCGCCATGTCGCGGCGGAGGTGGCGAGGTTCGCAGAGCGGCGAAGGTGGCGGCGGCGGCTCGGGACGCGGAGGGGACATGGTGAAGATGGCTGGCGGAGGAGGCGGAGGAGGAGGCGGCGGCGGCGGCGGAGGCCGTTACTACGGGGGCGGCCCTGAAGGCGGGCGCGCCCCGAAGCGCCAGAAAACGGAGAACGCGGACCACGGGCCGGGGGGAGCGGCCGGCGGCGGGGTGAGGAAAGAAGGAAGGCCTTTAAAACGCCGGACTACAACTCCCATCATCCCTCATAACGAGCGGAGGGGGGGAGGAAGGTTTGCAGTGGCGGCTCGGAAAGATGGGAGTTGTAGTCCTGTCGCGAGGGGCCGGCGTGGAGCCTCCAGGGGCAGGCGCAGTCTACCGTCAGCATCCCGCCTCCTTTGCCCGCCTGGGTGGGAGGGGCGAGAGGAGGGACGCCCCCCCCTCCATCCCTCCCTCCATCCCAAGCGCTGAAAAGTCGGGCCTTTAAAATGGGGGGGGGGGATAAGGCAGCTGCCCTGGCAGGTAAGTAGAGCTTCCCTCGACGGGAGCAGTCCACCCTCCTAGCAGGGAGGAGGGCTGCCTGCTTGGCTGACGCCTTGCTGCGATGCCTTAACCCCCCTGTGGTCCCTTGACCCACCTGGGGAGGGGGACTACAATTCCCAGAATGCCTGAGCCAGCCGGTCCTAAAACGGGGCACAACGCCCTGAACCAAATGTCTCACTTAGCGACGTCAAATCTGGGCTCAGTTGTGGTCGCGGAGGGGAGGGCTACCTATGCCCACCTGCCTGAAAACGATACCCCTTCCAGCCAGCCCAGTGTTTCTCAACCTTGACCATCTTAAGGCATGTGGACTTCAACTCCCAGAATTCCACAGCCAGCGTTGCTGGCTGTGGAATTCTGGGAGTTGAAGTCCACATGCCTTAAAATGGTCAAGGTTGAGAAACACTGAGCCAGTGCTTCTTGTTTGTTTATTGTTTGTTTAGATTTGTATACCGCCCTATCTCCCTTACGGGACTCAGGGCGGTGAACAGGCGATAATAAAAATCACAATAAATAGCTATTCTAAAATCCAATTAAATAAATAAAGGCCTGCTCTAAAATACCCCATATAAAACAACCTATACTAAAACCTAATTAAGACTACGCCAGGCCGGCCGCACGAAATAGATGAGTTTTCAGAGCTCGGTGAAAAAGGCGCAGGTCCGCAGTTGTACGTAGGTCGGGGGGGGGTAGGTCATTCCAGAGGGCAGGAGCTGCCACAGAGAAGGCTCTCCCCCTGGGGGTCGCCAGCCGGCATTGACTGGCCGACGGCACCCTAAGGAGGACTAGAACTCTTGAAAAGGACTAGAACTGCGCAAATGATATTATTTGTCTGCGCAAACCCGACCGTTAAAAAAAAAAAGCAACAGCAGAAATCGGACTTCCATTTGGATTGCTAAGTATTCTTGCCATCCAGCTTTGACTCTAACTGGGTAATGCTTTAGGCCGCAGGGGTCCTCAACCTTGGCGACTTTAAGACTTGTGGACTTCAACTCCCAGAATTCCTCAGCTTTGCTGGCTCAGGAACTCTGGGAATTGTAGTCCTCCAGGTCGTCAAGGGACCATAGCGCCGCCCCCCCTCCCCCGCCTTAACATGACAGCATTGAGCAGCCCTTTGAAAGAGGGGCAGATTTGGGTTCGCCCCGGGTTCAAGTCAGGACTGGAAAGGCCTTAAGGAAGGCTTGGCCTTGACCAGCAGAGCCTTATGGATCCATCAAAGCCGCCTCAGAGGCTCAGACCCTGGGCAAACCCATCGCTTTCGCAATTCCCCCGCTGCAAATGTGAATTAAAAGGCGGGTGTACTTGTGAGCAAAGCTCTTTAGATTGGGAAAGAGTGGCTTGTTTGCATGCTTAATTAGGATTTATTGAACGCTGGTTCTGCTGCTCAGAGCCAGGGCCTAGTGTGGAAGGAAGGTGATGATCAGGACCAGGGTAGCTCATCCTGCAGAGTCCAATTGCATCCGCTGTGCAAGTTCTGCAGGCAGAGTAATTTCATCCTGTTTTAAGAGTCGGGACGTGTGGCTGGAGGCTTTTTTCCTTTTGTGGAGAGAAAGTGGCGCTTAACTGCCTTGGGAGTGTTTTCAGTTTGGGTGTGTGCATTTTGCTGGGGTTTTTCTATCCATTGGCTGGGCAGGGTGGTTAACTGTGAAGTACGAGTGGCTTTGGATAATGAGATGGGCTGCGTACAAATTGTAAAACATGTTAAGCATGTAAAACAATTAACCAGTGGAACAACCTGCCTCCAGAAGCGGTGAATGCTCCAACACTGGAAGTTTTTAAGAAGAGACTGGACAGCCATTTGTCTGAAATGGTATAAGGTTTCCTGGCTGAGCAGGGGGTTGGAGTAGATGACCTCCAAGGTCCCTTCCAACTTTATTATTATTATTATTATTATTATTATTATTATTATTATTATTATTATTATATGTAATAAATGACTGGATTTAACTGTCGGGACGGTGGGTTTAAATTTACTAGAATGGTCAAAGGGTATGTGGGATATATTTCTCTCTTGAACAGGAAGCATTTGCTTAAGAACAGTGGCTCCCAACCTTTTCTGTACCTCGCACCCCTTACAAAAGTTCGAAATAACGGCAACAAATTATGCATATACGCTTTAATTTTGAAAAGCCAACTTTTCGCACCCCCCCCCTGGAATATCGTCTCGCACTCCTGGTTGGGAACCCCTGGCCTAGAGCAAGGAAGGGGCTTTGAGCATGATTTGGCCAAAGAAATGTAACTGTTGCTCTTTTAACGTAAGCTGGGACCAGAGGAGGTGTGCTGGGTCCCGCCAACAGCCCCTTCTGTTGCTTCCCATCAATATATAAAGTAGGCTGTAATAATCAAGGATGATTTTTTTTCCTGGTTAATTTTCTTAGTCCAGCTAATAAAAAAAAAGCAGTAACTTAACTACCTCTGATGACGGAGAATTCCATTTTAACTGCTAAGTTATCCTCTGCCTAATGCAGTGGTTCTCAACCTGTGGGTCGGGACCCCATTTGGGGTCGATCGACCATTTCATGGGGGTCGCCAAGCAAGGCTGTCCGCCATTTTTTTGTCCGCCATTTTTTTTCCCCTTTTCCGGCGGGTGCCTTACCTCCCTTGGGCTGGGCCAGCTGGTGGTCGGCCTGCTCCGTCTCTGCCGCTTGCCAGCTACGCCTCGGCCGGCGCAGGGGGTGGAACCACGCATGCGCGGCACTCCCGGGCAGGGAAAGTCCTCGACTTACGACCGGTTGGGTAGTCTTCGACTTACGACCGGTTTAGTCCTCGACTTACGACCGGTTGGGGTCGCGGCATTAAAAAGGTTGAGAACCACTGGCCTAATGAATCCTTTTGAGCTCCATAGCATTGCTTCAGCTGTTCCAGGATGCCCTCTCCCCAGAAACGCTTCTTTGTGCAAGAGTCTCCCCTCTTCCTTGTGCGCTAGAATTTTACAAGGGAAGTGTTCAATGACCTCATCTTCTCTGGCAGGAGAACTATGATGATCCTCACAAGCCGGCTGCTTCTCCTGTGGTCCACATCAGGGGTCTGATTGATGGCGTGGTGGAAGCTGATCTGGTGGAGGCCTTGCAAGAATTTGGCCCAATCAGGTGAGGGATGGGCAGCCAGAACACCCGGGGGGGATAGCTTGACAGATGGCGCATGTTCAGTGACCGAGTTCTTTTCTCTCTCTCTCCCTCTCTTTCCCCCAGCTATGTGGTGGTGATGCCCAAAAAGAGGCAGGCTCTAGTAGAGTTTGAGGACATACTAGGAGCGTGCAATGCTGTGAATTACGCAGCGGACAATCAGATCTACATTGCTGGGCATCCGGCCTTCGTCAACTATTCTACCAGCCAGAAGATCTCGCGGCCCGGTGACTCGGATGATTCTCGAGGAGTCAACAACGTCTTGCTCTTCACCATTCTGAACCCCATCTACTCCATTACCACGGTGCGTTGTGAGGCTGCTTTTTGTGGGGGATCCCAAATCTAGGACGTGGCAGTCCTGGCTTTCGTTGGGCCTCCAAGCCTGCTTTGGACCCAGTCAGGGAGAGCAGACTGAGGGTTAAGTTGATGTCTGAATGGTTTGTGGGTCCCCGTCTCCTTGTTTCAACAAATGGAGTGTTGACGTCTCTGGTAGGCAGAGATCTTGTGAGATCTCGTTGACTTTTATGGTCGTTCTCTTGCAGGATGTCCTGTATACCATCTGCAACCCGTGTGGTCCAGTTCAGCGCATCGTTATCTTTAGAAAAAATGGCGTCCAAGCTATGGTGGAATATCCTTTCTTTTTGATAGCTGAGAAGAGTGAAGCAGAACTGTCCTTCACGTGGGCTGGAGGAGATGCAGCACTGTTTTGGCTAGTGTCAACCGTCCCGTTGGCCCAGGCAGCAAAAGAAAAACTCCTGGGACATTGTTTACCAAGAGTTTAGCATTACTGATAGGTCCATACAGGCTCAGAAGAAGCGAAGCTAGCTCTGAGGTTTTTGTGCGAAAAACAGCACAATTAACTTCCCCATTTGGGCCACCCCTTGTCCATTGTCTACCGATCCAGCAGGTTCGTTTTGTTTTGGGGAAACACACTGCGCGTTTGGGAGGTCCCTGCGTCTCCTCGGGACTTTATCAGGCTGCAAAGGGCTGGCATAAATTCCTCACCTCCCTCCAAGCTCCCAATAAATTCCAAGCATTCTCCCTCCCTCCCATTGTCTTATGTTGTCAAGCTGTGAGCGGAGGTGTGGAGGTGTGTTACCAGTCAACCTTGACAGCGAGAACGCTGCTGGGTAAACAAGAAAGGCTAGCAGCTTTAAAGAAAGTTGACGGGGAAGCATCCAGTTAAGATTTCCTTAATTCTGCAAACATTTGACTCTGTGCAAAGCGCTCAGAGAGCAAAAGCTTCTTTGAACGGGGCCGACATTTACTCCGGCTGCTGTACTCTGAAGATTGAATACGCCAAGGTGAGCGGCGGGGGGTGGTGGTGGCAGAAGAGGGGACGGGCTCCTGTGTTGCCCAGGAGGGTCTGCGGCACCTCGGCCCCAAATCCGCCAGCACTTGTTTTCTGAATCGGATGGCATTTGCTAACCTTCCAAAATGGTGCAGTTGTGATTGTTATTTTGCAATAAAATATCTGGCGAGTAGGGAAAGGCAACAGAAGTTGAAAAATTGGGGAAACTGGTCTGGTGTTTCTTGTCTGTTGCAGAATGGCAGGAATTCCTACCCAGTTTTGTAAAATTATGGTAGTCCTCGAACTTATGGGCATAGTTAAGCCGGCCAATTAACGCTTGTAAGTCTTGATGGTTGTCAAGGGGATCATTCTGGGACCAACCTGATTTTAGGATCTTTAATGCAGCAGTCCTTAACAAATTCAGGGGATGGTTTTTTCAGGAAACCAGGAGGGGAAAGGTTTCTGGCAAAAATGTGAATTACGGCCACAGAATTGTGGCTGTAAACCCAGGCCGGGTTGTCGGGTCCAAAATGCACACAGGATTATGGGGTGGGGGTGGCTGTTGGAACCTGGGAATCAGATTGTAAGTAGCTTTTGGGGAATCCATCAGGACTTTGAAGGGTCACTAAGCAGCCGGTCATAAGTCGAGGATTACCTCTAGGTTAAAATAATATCTGCAATGGCTGCCAGGAATAAGGACTCTTAACATGGCCCTGGGCAGCCAGATGTTTGATGTTAAATTTCACCTCTCTCCCCCCCCCCCCATAATAGAAAAAAATTATAGGTCCGGCATTCTTAATAGGAAGCCGGTCAAGACTGAGCACGTAGCAAAAATTACATCTGCTTTTATAATTAAACAGTTGTGCTAATTGTCATATATTACAGGTTAAAGTGGAATAGATAAGAGACTTAATGGCTATAAGCCAGTTAGGTCACTGTTTTGTGACAGCTCAGCGGCCAGTATGATCACTTGGTGGCTCCCTTTCTCGAGCTCCCTCTCTTGAATCCCCCCCCCCTGGGTTAGTTTTGAACATTTGTGCTTCGTTTTTTAGCCCACTCGCTTGAACGTCTTCAAGAATGACCAGGACACCTGGGACTACACCAACCCTAACCTCAGCGGGCAAGGTAACCTTGATCGCCTGCTCTCAAGCTACACACAGACCCTTCCTTGTCCTCTTGAAGAGCACACGTCCTCCAGATGAATTGTGTGATGTAATGCCATTTGCCTGCTGTCCAACATGGGGCCCGATTTGGGAAGCCTGGAGGGGGCTTCAGCCACAAGAGGCTTCTCCAGACGCAGTGGGGAGGGGGCCTGAGGGGGCGTGTGTCGAGAATAGCCACAAGGGAATTGGGGCGGCTTCGTCTCCCTGATTGCGTCTAGCCAGGCATCCTTCCCCCTCGGTGTTGCGTCTCCGTGTGTGGATTGCAGCTACTAGGAAGATGGCGATGTAGTAGCGCAGAGGGGAGTCGGAAAGCAGGATGGGTTCAGATTTCCTTTATGTTCTGGGGCAGCCCAGAATGGATGCTAGGGAGCTTTTAATTCCTGGAGGGTCCGGAGATGGCTGTCCCCCCTCTTGTTTGAAAGTCTCGGGCCGTACCCAGCCTTTGGCCCTGCTGCTGACCTAGCCACCTCCTTTGTGGATCTGGGGGCATGTATTGCATTTCTGCCATTCCACGGGTGGAGGGCGGGCAGAGGGGAAAAACACTTCTCTTGGGTTCAAGGAAACATGCATGCAGACTCTGGGACTTGGGAGGGTGGCGTACACATTGGGGGCTGAAGGGGTCTCCAGTGCCATTTCCTTGAGAGGGACTGAGAGGAGGGGGGTCACTATCTGCGTCAGCTCAAGTCTAAAGCTAGTGGGAAGCCCTGCCTCGGCTTTGCTGCACACGTGCAGAAAGCAGCGTGTTCCCTCGGTGAGGTGGGCAGCGTCGCCCCCTCCAAGCACGACCTCAGCTTAAAACAGGCTGGGCTTTTTTACAGGAGGCTTGGCGGTGGCGTCGGTTGGCTCCATGGACCAAACAAGCCCGGGGAGGCTGTTGGATGGCGGGGTGGGGTGGGGGCTCTGGCAGAGGTCACCTTTGACCCCGCCCTCACGGTGAAGCAAGCAATGGCATTACATGACTTGACATGAACATGACTCACTTTCTCCTCCAAGGTACATACTTAGGCGCTGTGCAGATGGGCAGTGGCTTAAGTTGGCAGGGCTGGGCAGTTCAGAAGCTGCCTCCCTCAGGCTGGGCACCGAGGAGGTGCGATATATCTGGCCTTTCCCCAGCTCTGAACAGATTTCCCACATGGCCCTGGGGGACCCGTGCGCAGCTGCCGTGGAAGTTCTGAATTGCCTGTGATCTCTGCCTTCTGCTAGACACTCTCTAACACTACACAGTGTAGGACCAAAAAAAAAAAAAAAAAAGCAAGCTCAACCTTGCACTAGCTCTGCCTGGAGAAAACACGCAGCATCTTAAGTGTACCTGAAAGCCAACAGATTTGAGTTCATTTCCTCACATCAAGGAGACACAACACCGCGATCTGAGAGACATCTACAAGCACAGAGGGAGACAGAGAAAAAAAGAGAGAGACAGAGACAGAGAGAGAGAGAGAGAAAAACTGACTCACCAGGCCACGACATGCTTAACAAAACAAAACAAAAAGTCAAAAAAACAAAAAAACTTTGAACCCAAGAAGGGAACACAGAAACTAGGAAAACACCAGAGGGGTCTCAGACAAAGTGCACCAACGGTCTTAAAACGGAGAACGGAGTAGATCCCCGAGACCCTTCAAGATATAAGACGCTCTCCATATCAACTTGGTTTGGTTTGGGAGGGCCTTTTATTACTCTTTTCTTGCAGTCCTCGGCTGCCGACATTTTATCAGCGCCAAGTGGAGACAGACAAAAAAAAAAAAACCCAAACAAACACCAAGTCCCCGGGAGCCCCCAGTTCCGTAGAGACTGGGGGGGTCTCGTCCGCTTCAGGGGCACTTGAGATCCAAGGCACACTCCATTAACAGAGGAGAGACACGCACACGGGAGACCTACACAGCCAGAAGCACCAAAAACCTGATTTAACAGCACATGACAAAAAAAAATAAAAAAAACATCAAGAGATGCAACACGGAAGGGACACGCACTACACCTTGGTTATGTCCTTTTTTTTCCTTGATACCATCTGAAGACAAAAACAAAACAAAACAAAACAAAAAAAAAATCTGTGAGCCCTTTTTCAATTTAATTTATTTTTTTTTTTTAATTTAATTGTGTCAGTTTTGGTGCCTTTTGACGTGAATTTGACTCTGGAACCATGTAACGCAGGGTCGCAGTGTATGTTTGATGGGACGCCATCTTTCAGAACTGTGCTTACACTGTTGAAGCGTCCAATGGTAAGAGAAATGCAGAATATATATGTGACAAGGGACATTGTACTTTAAACTCCTGCTGTAAGTAGCCTTTTTCAATCTTTGTAATGACTATTGAAATAAACTGCGAAACTCTTTTTTTACTTTTTTTTTTTTTTTTAAAAAAAAGAACAAACGAGAACTGTATGACTTGCTTAAAATTCTTCTGTCTTGTTATTTCGATTTGTGTTTAAACTGGACCAATTGCTACTTTTGCTTTGCTTTGCCATCTTCTCCTTGGTCTTGTTTTTAATCCTTTTAGCTCTGCTAGAGGTGGGGAGTGGGCTGGCAAAAGAGGTTTGTTTTCGTCTTTTTTCCCCCCCCTGCTGCTCTAATGTTCGAATTGGTGGTGAAATTGGCTTCTGTTGATCCTTTTGCTTTTTTTTTTTAATAAATCCTTCCCTGCCACAAGGTGAAATTTCAGGAGGGAAGTGAACAGACTTAAGAAAACCTTGGTTAGGCCAGATAGATTGTTGAGACTTAACGCTTTGGCGTCCCAACAGAGTTCTAGTTCGTCGGCTGCTTAAATAAAAGCCCGGAAGACACATCAGAGCTTTGATGTTCGAGGTAGCCTCAGGATCTGTCCCAAATGGCCCCTTCCAGCCTCCGCTTAACCACAGAAGGGACAGCCAGGGTGGATGGGGTGGGGGGGGAGACGGTTGTGCAGGTGCCCCTGAAAAGCAGGTGCCATTTTTAACACCCTCCCCCAGCCCCCTTTCCTCCCCCGGTGGAAAAGAGACATATTCTGAGGAAACTGGAAGGTTGTAATGTGGAGAATGCCGCAGGCCGGCCTCGTGGCCTCACCCAAGGTCTGCCCCAGAAGTCAAGCCGACTGAAAATGTTTGGAGAAGTTCCTAATGTTTTGTCTTCTTTTGATAGGGGAGCCCGGCGGGAATCCGAACAAGCGCCAGAGGCAGCCTCCTCTCCTCGGGGACCATCCTGCTGAATACGGTGAGGCCTGGTCCGTGGAGCGGAGCGGGCAGCGTCCCTGGCCCTCCTCCAACTTGGCCCCGGCGTTGGCTGACCTTTGCTTCCTCCTCCAGGAGGGCCTCACGGGGGCTACCACAGCCACTACCACGACGAAGGCTACGGCCCTCCTCCTCCTCATTACGAAGGGAGGCGGATGGGTCCGCCCGTGGGAGGCCGTCACCGAGGACCCAGCCGCTACGGGCCTCAGTACGGGCACCCCCCGCCTCCGCCGCCCCCTCCGGAGTACGGCCCCCACGCCGACAGCCCCGTTTTGATGGTCTACGGCCTGGACCAGTCTAAGATGAACTGCGACCGTGTTTTCAACGTCTTCTGCCTCTATGGAAACGTGGAGAAGGTGAGCTGCCTAGGGAGAGGGCGGGTCCGGGGGGGTGGCAGAGCTTCCGGTGGCCCGGAACGGCTTAGTTGGGGCTAGGTTTGGCCTCCATAGAATTCCAGCCTCGAACCCCTTCCTGCTAGCAGTCGGATCCCCCCCATAGTTTTTGCTTCCTTTGGAGGTCTTTGGGCACGGCGCCGTTGAGATCCTCCTGTCCGTGGCTGGGAAAACCAAAGTACAATCTCTGTATATCAGGAGTAGGCCACCTTGGGTCTTTTATGACTCGTGGACTTCAACTCCCAAAATTCCTGAGCCAGCCATGCTGAGGGGAAAGGGAGAGGTTTCCATGCTGGCTCAGGAATTCTGGGAGTTGAAGTCCACCCATCTCCCAAGTGGCCATGGTTGAGAAATACAGGCCTAGGCCAGGGGTAGGCAACCTTGGCTCTTTTATGACTGGTGGACTTCAACTCCCAGAATTCCTGAGCCAGCATGGCTCAGCATGGAAACCTCTCCCTTTCCCCTCAGCACGGCTGGCTCAGGAATTCTGGGAGTTGAAGTCCACGAGCCCTAAAAGAGCCCAGGTTGCCCACCCCTGCTCTATACCTACCTGCTTGCTTTGTCTTGGGCCAGTTCCCCATCCTGAAACCAGGTGTACGATTTGGGCCTGACGACATTGGAGGTGGAGAGGCTTCCTTCCACCTGGTCACAAGAGCTGCTGCTCCCTGGGCCACAAGGGTGAACAGCCTCCCTCCCGAGGGAAGGCGTAGAATTCAGTCAAAGGCAGGGAACCTTCTGTGCTCTGGCGGCTCCTTCCAGCCCGTGGGAATCGCAGGGAGGGCGGGAGAGTTTAAGCCCTCCGGCTCCAGAGAGTCTGGAGCCTTCACAGCTTTGGAAACAGGTTTGAGTTAAAAACGGCAGGCAGGCTGGTGCTACACCGGTAAGGCTTGTGTGGGCTTTGAGTACCAGCTGGCAAAGGCAAGCCGGGTTTGGGACTATTGCCTGAAGGCTACAGGTAGTCCTCGAATTAGGACCATGAAATGGAGCCCAACATTTTAGTTGCTGCCAGACCAGCGTTAAGTGGGTTTTGCCCCATTTTACGACCTTTCCTGCTATAGTTGTGAGATGAACCACTGCAGTCGTTGAGTTAGTAACGCCGTTGTAAAGCGAATCTCGCTTCCCTGTTGACTTTGCTTGTCAGAAGGTCGTAAAAGGGGAATCGCATGACCCCCGGGAACACTGCAACCGTCGTAAATACGAGTCGGTTGCCAAGCATCTGAATTTTGATCGCCCGACAGCAGGGATGTTGCAACGGTTGTGTGAAAAACGTGCACTTCTTGCAGCACTGTTGTAACTTCAAGCCAATGGATGGTTATAAGTTGAGGAGCACCTGTGTGTGATTGGGAGGGTGTACACAGGGAAGCCATTTTGAATGCAGAGGCTGGTTGAGGTTTCTATCTACTGTTTAGGAAACAATTCCTATTAAAATGGAGACAGGTTTGTACCCGTGTTGGGTGGGTGGGTGCCTTTGAGAACACTCTGCCTTTGTCCTCTCTTGCAGTTTGAACCAAGAAATGCTTTTTTTTTTTTAGGTGAAGTTCATGAAAAGCAAGCCTGGGGCAGCCATGGTGGAGATGGCCGACGGCTACGCGGTGGACCGAGCCATCACCCACCTCAACAACAACTTCATGTTTGATCAGAAGTTGAATGTGTGGTGAGTTTCACCTGCTTTGTTCCAAGATCTTGAGCAATCTGGGTCAAAACCAAGAGGGCAGAACTGAACAGCCTGTCTTGGTTTGTCCTCAGCGTGTCAAAGCAACAGGCCATCATGCCTGGCCAGTCCTACGGTCTCGAGGACGGCTCCTGCAGCTACAAAGATTTCAGCGGCTCCCGGAACAATCGGTTCTCCACCCCGGAGCAAGCCGCCAAGAACCGAATCCAGCATCCCAGCAACGTGCTCCATTTCTTCAACGCACCTCTGGAAGTGACGGAAGATAACTTCTACGAGGTAAGGATTTTGACCTGGGGTAGCTTCAGCCTGCATGGCCACAATAGGGGGGTTTATTGGTTTATATTTCGTGTTTCTTAACCACCCATCCTCCCTCAGAGAGTTTAGGAAGAATCAAAACTTGCTGCCTTTAGTGTATGACAGGATGACGACTTTAATGGATCTGGACAGCATCTGACTCCCAAATGTAGCTTATATTCCCAAAGGCAGGAAGCAGTAATCCTAAAGAAAAAAAAAAGGGCTTGTACATCTGGATATGATACTAGCAGAGGCTCTGGTGTGCCTAGGCCAGGGGTAGGCAACCTTGGCTCTTTTATGACTCGTGGACTTCAACTCCCAGAATTCCTGAGCCAGCCATGCTGAGGGGAAAGAGAGGTTTCCATGCTGAGCCATGCTGGCTCAGGAATTCTGGGAGTTGAAGTCCACGAGTCATAAAAGAGCCCTGGCCTAGAAGTAGCAACTGCAATGGACCCAGTTCGGCCCCCTTGCTCGTTCCTCTCCGTGACAATTCTCTTAGTTCTGAGCCTGGATGTGAGCTTGGTCTTTATTTGGCCTCACAAGAGGAGAATGGATTAATGCTCATTTTTGACAGACGTGATAACAAGAAGAGGCTGTGAAGCGGTTCTGAAAAACATTTGACCCAAAACAATAATGACCTGTTCAGTCGTTTTCTACTCAGCCCAAACATTTCAATGAGCTGTTTTTTGCTGTAAGATGATGTTTAAAAGCCTCTTTCCTTTGGGCTCCTACCAATACTTGTTCAACACAGCACATTAAAATAGGTAAAATGCAGTTCTACGGTGGCTGAAAACTGCAAGAGCCCCTGGGAATAGGACTTGAGCGAAGATGAGATTCCTAAAATATGCATTGGCGCGATGAGGGTAGTGGCTTATCGCTCCTGTTACATATGTGGCATTTTTTTCCCCCTCAGATTTGCGATGAGCTGGGGGTAAAGAGACCGGCTTCTGTCAAGGTGTTTTCAGGAAAGAGTAAGTATCCCTGCGCAGAGATTGGTCTTGGGAACGCCGCTGCTTGGGAAGAAGGGGCCGAGGGCCACGCTGTTCTAGGACAACAGAGTGGATCTGGGCGATGGGACCTGTAGTCCAGCCCTCAAGAGTTTGCCCGCCTCTGTTCAGAGGAGGTGGGCCTGCAGCAGGTTAACCCACCCCTCGCTTGAAACGCCCGCAGGTGAACGGAGCTCGTCGGGGCTGCTGGAGTGGGAAACCAAAGGGGACGCGCTGGAGACGCTGGCTTTCCTCAACCATTATCAGATGAAAAACCCAAGTAAGCCCCTCTTGCGTTTTTTTAGATGCTGAAGCGGGAGGGTCTTGATTGCCCAATAGGATTTGGGAATCTCACTGCTCATTTTCCCTCCCCCTGTTCAATTCTACCAGTAGGAAAGGAAAGCCAGTAGGTCTTAAAACACCAACAGATTGGAGACCTGGCCAAATTAATCGGTTGGAAGGGGGAAAAAACAGCCAGTGGCCCATTCTGAACTGTGCCTCAGTGTTTAGAACAGAAATGTCCGACCTGGGTAACTTTTAAGACCTGTGGGCTTCCTCTCCCAAGTCCACTTAACAAGCGTGCTACTAACTTTAACCACTGCAGGGGTTCACTTAAGAATTGTGGCAAAAATGGTTGCAAAACAGAGTAAAACTCTGGCTTAGCCACCGAAATTTGGGGGTCAGTTGTGGTCATAAGATGAGGACTACCTGGAGTCACTAAGTGCAAATAATCTCTCAAGTGTTTTCCGTTGAAATCTGATTCCAGTGAGAGGTTTATTTGTTTAAGACACGTTTTCTTGACTTCAGCCCAAAATGGATCACAATGGGAGATGTTGGGAATGCTTGAGAAATCTTTCCTTCCTTCCTTCCTTCCTTCCTTCCTTCCTTCCTTCCTTCCTTCCTTCCTTCCTTCCTTCCTTCCTTCCTTCCTTCTCTCTATCTCTGTCTCTTCCTTTTCTTCTTTTCTTTCTCTATCTGTCTCCTTTCTTTCTTTCTTTCTATCTGTCTCTTCCTTTTCTTCTTTTCTTTATCTCTGTCTCTCCTTCCTTTTCTTTCTTCTTCCTTCCTTCCTTCCTTCCTTCCTTCCTTCCTTCCTTCCTTCCTTCCTTCCTTCCTTCCTTCTCTTCCTTTTCTTTCTCTCTATCGCTGTCTCTCCTTCCTTTTCTTTCTTTCTCTATCTGTCTCCTTTTCTTTCTTTCTTTCTTTCTTTCTTTCTTTCTTTCTTTCTTTCTTTCTTTCTTTCTTTCTTTCTTTCTTTCTTTCTGCGGCTGTTGATGATGACACCGTTTTTATTTTCGAGTAAATAAAAGTTGAGGCGACTCATGAATTATGTCTGGCTTTCTCCTAGATGGGCCATACCCCTACACACTCAAACTCTGCTTCTCAACCGCCCAGCACGCTTCCTAATTGCTCTTCGGTTCCCGACCAAGAAGACTGCTCCGTTAACTTTCTTGTGTGTGGTTTTTTTTTTTTTTTTTTGGTTTTTTTTTTGGGCAAAGCTCCCGTGTCCCCCTCCTTTTTTTTTAAATAATAAAAAAAAGCTTAATTAGAGGCTGCCTGCAGCTAGGTCAGCTGGGAAGAGAAGCCCCGTGGCATTCTGATGACATCGATTTTTAAAACGATCGTACATGTTGACATGTTTTTCCCCCCCATTCATACAATGTGTGCTGCCTGTGCTAGTTGGCACATTTAATAAAGCTGTTTGGAAAATAAATTGTTGTAAAAACTGACCTGGTAACGCCTCTGGATGTTTTTGTAGAAGGGGGCAGGCAAGTATGTCCAGTGTGTCATTTTTTTTTTGAATGGAATTAAGTTGGTCTGGGTCAGGGGTAGGCAACCTTGGCTCTTTGATGACTCGTGGACTTCAACTCCCAGAATTCCTGAGCCAGCCACGCTGAGGGGAAAGGGAGAGGTTTCCAAGCTGAGCCATGCTGGCTCAGGAATTTTGGGAGTTGAAGTCCACGAGTCATAAAAGAGCCAAGGTTGCCTACCCCTGGTCTGAGTGTCTCTTAACCTTGTTTCCATGGAAGACCGGGCTAAATTTTAAAAGAGAAGTCCCATTTAACAGTTGTTTTGTGCAACCCTTTTATTCTTTCCCCTTGCTTTCTTGTATGTTGGGTGGCTTTAACTAAGTCTACGCTGCACTATGTAATGCAGTGTTCAACACTACTACAGTCTCTATGCTTATTTTTTTTTTTAGCTTTCCTGGGTTTCTAAGAACATTTAAGGCCAACCATTTCTGCCCCCTTTAATTTTTTTTAAAAAATCCTGCACTGGCTTCGTTCCACAGCAAAATCTTTTTAAAAAATTGGAAATTGCAATTGCTTGAATGGGAATGAGAGCTGCCAATACGCAGGCCAAGGGGGAGAAGGTAAAAATGCCTCCGAAGGGGAAGTGTGTGTTTGTGTGTTCCTGGCTGCTGTTCTTGACTTGTCGAAACGTTTTTGCATAAACCTCTTGAAAAAAGACCAGGGTCTTCCTCTCCTCTTGGGGACACAGCCCTATGGTCGCTTCGACTGACCTTCCAGGATTGGGTTAGAAGTAGCCATTTATAGATAGAAAATAATTCCCAGAATTCCCCAACCGACCCTCTGAGCTGGGGAATTCTGGGAGTTGACCATGCACCTTAATAAAATCGCTAAAAGGTTAGAAGGGGGCGTCTGTGCCCCTTTTTCCTTTTTTTCTTTTCGAGATGGACTACAACTCCCAGCAGCCCCCTCGCCAGCCACGCTGGGCGGAGTCTGCGTCGGGACGTTCCCTCGCGCGTCAATCCCGGCTTTCCCGTTCCGGCCAGGAGGGGGCGGCCGAGGGCGGCGCCTTGCTCGTCCGGCTATAGAGGCGGAGAGCGGAAGTGGCGTCTCCCTCCGGAGAGGCGGCGGATGGAGCGAAGGGCGGAACCCGTCTAGCCCGGCCACTCGCTGGTAGGTCTGCAGTTTTGCCCCGGTCTGCGGGAGGAGAGCGGTGGGTCCATGGCGGCGGTGTCGGCAGCGTCGGGGGTCCTCGGGGGGCTGCTTCGGAGGCGTGAGTGGGCTCTCTCCCCCCAGTCCCTCCCCGCCCGTTCCCTCCGCTTTCAGCCCCCGGCGTCCCAGTGGCCCCCCTGCTTCTCTTGCTGACCTCCCCCCTGACCCCTCCCTGGCCACGGCAGCTCCCCCCCTCCTAACCCCCCCGAGGCCTTGGACCTCAGTGCCCATCATCCTCAGCCGGCTGGGGAGAAGCGAGCTTGCTCTGGACGAGGCAGGGGGCCCTGCAGAGCTGGCCAGCGGTTGGGGGGGGGAAGCAGATTGCCCCCCTCCCTCCCTCCCCGCCTCGCAGCCCTTCAGCTTTTAGAGGAGGGGGCAGTGGGGGTCTCTCCCCGTCCATTGCTTTTTATGCAGGCCATCTTGGCTTGCTCGCTTTTGCCCTCCCCTCCCCCAAATCCCCAGCAGGGGTCTGTCTATGAGCCCCCCCCCCCCCACGAAGTCCTCCTCTCTGCTTGCTGTTTGCCTCGCCTCTGAATTGCAGGTTGCCTGGAGCTGCTGCCCCATCTTGCTTTCCCTGCTGGCTGCCTCCATTCCTGCCCTGTCCTGTTCTTCCCACCTGCATTTCTCTCTCTCTCTCTCTCTTTTTTGCATTCTGTGCATGCAACCTGCAGCCTTCTCTGCTAATCTCTTTGCCTGTGGGTGGAATTGCAAAACTGGGACAGGCCAGGTGGGATGTTTTCCCAGGAATGTGCAACCTTTGGACGTTTTCCCAGGAATGCGCAACCTTTGGACGTCTGGTGCCTGTGAACAGGAGGGGGGGCAGGGAATGCAAGTAGGTGGGCTCAGGAGCGGTGAGGACCTCCCTTCCCTGGATCTCGTCCTTGGCCAGAAACTCTCTTGTTCTGTAGAGAGAAGCCATTTTGTTCTCAGCAAGGGAGCAAAACCATCTCTTGTGCAGGAACTTTGGAGTTAAGCTGAAGAAATCTTTGGTTTCTAGGCATGAAGTTGGCCCACCTCTCCTTTGGGGTGGTTTCGACCACAGCTATACAGTTTCCCCTCATTTTCTTGTGGAAAACTGAAAGGACTTTTACGAATTCCAGAGGGTTTTAGCAGAGAGATTTATTGCGCCAGGTTCAGAAGCAATAGAGGCAAGCAATTCTGAACCCTGAGGGCGGGTTCAAACTTCAGTTTTATACTTTCCTTTTCTCAGGAACAAAGGAATACACATTGAAATACACATTGTAATACATTAGGTTCGTTTCTCACGGGTATACAATGGAGGGTTTGCTTCATACGTTGTATCCATGTGCAATGCGCATTAGGTTAGTCGCATATTACTGACACAGAATTTTCCTAGTGATTATGCATTATTCCTGACACATCATTATTCTAGTAGTTATACAGACAAATCATTATTTTAGTAATTGTTCATTATTCCACATTAATTTGAGGTAGATCTAGCTACTGGAAGGAAAAGGAGGGGTGACTTGAGGAGCAGGAAGGTATGGAGGAGGAGCAGGAAGGTATGGAGGAGCAGGAAGGTATGGAGGAGCAGGAAGGTATGCTCCTGTTGAGAGAAGCCAAAACTTTGGGATTCTTGAAATCTCCCAGGGATTTTCTGTGGCTGAGCAGAGAGAAGAGGGGCCTGGCTAAAACCAAGACGTAGGGGGAGGAAGGGGGCTTTGTATGACCATGACATAAGTCAGGCCTCCAACTCTTCAGAGTTTCAGCCCCACTGGAGTCACCAGGGAGTTCGTTTATTGGTTTGTGATACCATTAGAGCATTGCTTCTCACCTTTGGCAGCTATAAGACGCCAAACCTCTAAATCCGTGTTTCTCAATGTTGGCAATCTTAAAGTTGCCAAGGTTGAGAAAGAGAGTTTTAGAGATTGCCCAAGTCCTAATGATCCCAAGTGGCGAATAATAACCAGTGGAAAAGAAGTCACGAGTCTCCCAGGGACAAATATATAAAGGAAACACCTGTCCATTCGAGGCTCAACCGTCATCCTGCCCCAGAGCCTGGGAGGAGAGTCGTGTCTCCTCTGGATCCCTGGGAGAGGCCTTTCGGAGGTCCCACTAGATCAGAGGTGGGGAACTGCGGCCCTTTTATGACTTGTGGACTTCAACTCCCAGAATTCATGGCTCAGCCAGGAAACTTCTCCCTTTCCCCTCAGCATGGCTGGCTCAGGAATTCTGGGAGTTGAAGTCCACAAGTCATAAAAGGGCCATGATTTCCCCACTTCTGCAGTTGATGACACTGTTAAGTGGGCAGCCAAAACTCTGCCTGACCCCTACCTTTCTGCCTGCATGCATGGAGTTTGCCCCTGAGGACAGGTGGATAGAGCTTTGACCACTGCTGCTAACCGTCCCGTTTTCCCTCCCAGATCTCTCCGTTCGTCTTGTTTCCTGTTGCGGCTTCAGGATCATGGCGTCCAAGCAACAGCAGTCGTCACAGCAACAGCCCAATGCCTTGCCCACCTACGAGACCTTGAAGTTGGAACGGGTCCGAGATAAAGTGCTGCACGTGGAGCTCAACCGTCCTGAGAAAAGGAATGCCATGAATATCGCCTTTTGGAGGTAACAGGAAATCAGATTTCTTTTCCGCTAGGGATGGAAGTCGGAGGGAGGCCGGGGATGCGCGACAGGAAACGCCTCGGGACATCTGGCTGGGCTTTTAACCTGCAATCCTTATCATGTGGACCATCACTTAGATATGAGCCAGCCGTGTGCTGCAGCTGCCAAAAAAGCCAACACAGTCCTAGGCTGCATTAACAGAGGGATGGAATCAAGATCACGTGAAGTGTTAATACCACTTTACAAGGCCTTGGTAAGGCCACACTTGGAATACTGCATCCAGTTTGGGTCACTGCGATGTAAAGAGGTTGAGACTCTGGAAAGAGTACGGAGAAGAGCAACAAAGATGATCAGGGGACTGGAGGCTAAAACATATAAGGAGCGGCTGCTGAAATTGGTTGTCTAGTTTAATGAAGAGAAGGACGAGGGGGGACATGATAGCAGTGTTCCAATATCTCAGGGGCTGCCCCCAAAGAAGAGGGAGTCAAGCTATTCTCCAAAGCGCCTGAAGGCAGGACAAGAAGCAACGGATGGAAACTAACCAAAGAGAGAAGCAACCTAGAACTAAGGAGAAACTTCCTGACAGAACAATTAACCAGTGGAACAACCTGCCTCCAGAAGTTGTGAATGCTCAGACACTGGAAGTATTCAAGAAGAGACTGGACAGCCATTTGTCCGAAATGGTATAGGGTTTCCTATCTGAGCAGGGGGTTGGACTGGATGACCTCCAAGGTCCCTTCCAACTTTTATTATTATTATTATTATTATCATCATCATCATTATCATGTTCCGAATAACCAAACCTTTTTTATGAGGCTTCATCGGGGCAGACTAAGGCAGGCATGCTCTGCCCTATCGGCTCTGGGCCTTCCACATCACAGGAAAATGCCTTCAGTCACTACACTGTTTCAAGTGTACAGGTAGTCCTCAACTTACAACAGTTGATTTAGTGACCAGAGTTACAAGGGCACTGAAAAAAGTGGCTTACGGCCATTTTTCACCCTTGTGGCCATTGCAGCATCCCCCACAGTCAACGTGATTTACACTTGGATGTTTGCAACTGGTTCACATTTATGACGGTCGCAGTGTCCCCCGGGGTCCTGGGGTCCCCTTTGGCAACCTCCTGAAAAAGCAAAGTCAACAGGGGAAGCCAGATTCACTTAGCGACGGTGTTTCCCATTTAACAACTGCAGCGATTCCCTTAACAAATGTGGCAAGAAAAACCTAAGATGGGGCAAAACTCAACAGATTTCTCACGTAGCAACATCGACGTTGTGGTCGTGAGTCAAGGACTGCCTGTTATTTGTGAAAAATCTAAGCCTAGCAGAGCAGGTCTCCAGTGTGGTCTTCTCTTGTCATAGGGAGATGGTCGAGTGCTTCAACAAGATTGCCGAGGATTCCGAATGTCACGCAGTGGTGATCTCGGGTGCTGGGAAAATGTTCACTGCAGGTAGGGAGGACTGAGGCATCGTGGCCGAGAGAGTCCTTCTCCCCTCTAGATCGAGAAAATCTAGCAAGGAGCCACCTGGGGTGCACCTCTTGGGATCTTAGATGGGAGTTCAGATCAGACTTTCAGCGCTGTCAGAATTCAGTGTATACAATTTTACGCAATCACGCCAAGCCTCCTTTGGCTTAGTTTGTACCGCAAATCGTGCTTCGGGTGGGTTTGCAGGGACGCTTTTCAAAGTTTAAAGAGTACATGTTGAGAAGGGAGCCCTGAATTTTAAGGAGAAATAGGAGTACTTTAATACCGGCAAGATACAGTCACAATTTTGTTTGCGCTGCTGAGAGGGAACCAATAAGAGGCAAAATTTGGTCCCCACAGTTTTGGAGAAACCTCTAGGTCCCAGGGTTTGTAGCCTTGTTTTCAGAAGTTGCGGCATGCATTTAACAGTTAAATAAAGTAACCCATTGTGGCTTAGTTAGCTGAGGGCCTCCAGGCTTAGAGTGACCGGGTGGGTGTTAAATGGCTGAGCTGGGGGGCCAGAAGCACTCCTGCTGTTCTCCATTCCTGACCTCCTATAGCAGGAGTGTCAAACTGCCGGCCTGCAGGCCGGACGCGTCATCCAGAAGCTGCGCCCACCCCATTGCCAGCAATGGCAAAACCGTCCCAATACGTTGCACGACATCACGTGACGTTGCGAGTTTGACATGTCTGTCCCACAGGCATTGACCTCATGGAGCTGGGCAGCATTTTCGTGATGGCACAAGGTGATGACATGGCTCGGAAGGCTTGGAACATCCGCAAGAAGATCCAGGAATACCAAGAGTCCTTCACGGTCCTGGAGAAGGTGCCTGGGTTGAGGGACTCGGGTTGGCAGGTGGGCCAGGAAACCCCTTCCTCCCACTTAACAGGATCTCTGCTTTTCAGTGTCCCAAGCCCGTCATTGTGGCCGTTCACGGGGCCTGCATCGGAGGAGGTGAGCCCCACAAGTCACGCGTGTCTGAACCTGTAACTTCACGTGCCTCCAGTTCCTGGAACTGGTTGCACGAGCCGGCTGTGGAAACGGCAAAACTCCAAATTCTGCACCTGTTGAATTACAGAAGCTAAACAGTACGATCTTGCTTTGCTTGCTAAGGCTCCAAGTCTTTTGGATGAAACTGGCTCCATTACTCAAGTGTTTCTTAACCGTGGCAGTTTAAAGAGGTGTGGATTCAAATTCTGGGACTTGAAGCCCACGTATCTTAAAAGTTGCCAAGGTTGAGAAACGCTGCTAGAACTGCATAACTTAGTTTATAAAGCTGCATCTCATGATCTCTTTGCTGAGGGGCCAGGCCAACACTAGGAGTGCTGTGCGATTTCCGTGTCAGCCTGGCTGGAAATCTGCTCTCATCTAGTCTATGAGTAAAAATGGAATTCTGGAAGGAAAAGGGTTTTTTTTATTTTTTTGGCTGATGTACCAATGTTGTTGGTTTTTGAGAGGCATTTTTTTTTCTGCTCATGAAAGAAAGGAATGCTGTTTCTTAAGATACCCCCTACCTAGTCATGGATCTCGGCTGTTTAACAGCCGTTTTCAAAAAGGCGAGTGCCCTGTAACTCGGGGCCCTTTTGATGCTGCAGCACTATGGGCTAGTGCAGGGGTAGGCAACCTTGGCTCTTTTATGACTCGTGGACTTCAACTCCCAGAATTCCTGAGCCAGCTTGGCTGGCTCAGGAATTCTGGGAGTTGAAGTCCACGAGTCATAAAAGAGCCAAGGTTGCCTACCCCTGGGCTAGTGAGTCTTCTTCTGGGCTGTTGCCACACTTGACTCCCTGGGGGTGGCCAGAGAATGGGTGACACAGGACCTTCCTTGGAACTGGGCTGGGTGGGCCCTGAGATAGGAGCTTGGCCACTTTAAACTGTTGTG